AATTTGTAAAAAACGCAATATCTGTGAAGCGCAATAAAATGAGGTATGCCTGTACTACAGGTATGACCCATCACTGCCACCGCAGTTCAGACAGACAGCTGCCACCTTCCTTAGTGCTGTTTGCATTTTGGACCCCAACCAGGTGCCTGTTCGGAGTTGTGACCCTCAGCTACTGAAATCAATTTCTGGATGGCAAAAAGAGCATGACAATGAATGTACTGCTTACATGAACTTTGTCAGAGTGCTGGGTGCCTGTGTCTGTTTTGAAACTGTCTGTGTCTGGTCTCCATATCTCTATGTCCTGGCAAAACGCTGCCTCACCATTCCAACTAACCACCGTGCCATCTCAGTGTACAGACAAGTGTTCACTCCATAGAGACAAAGAATGTCTCCAGCAACAGCCACTGGATGCTGCATTTAATAGCTAATATGAATGGTCTGTCTCAAGGTCAGCATTCAGTAACCTTTTTACAGTGTCCTTTAAAATGTGTGTAGTTGGTATGAGTAACAATTGATTTTGTGTGTAGCTTTAATTTAGTAAGATACTTCAGTTTAAATTTTAATTAAATGCTTAGATTACTTAATAATGCATCAATTAATGCCTTCCACGGGCATAATCTCTTGATTAAACCTACAAAAGCAATTAAGGGAAGCACTGTTAAGCAATTAAGCTGTGGTTTCAGGCCATCTGGCAATATCCTGAGATGGGTGGGACTGCTGGAACCCCTTGGCCAATCAGAGGTGTGGAGGGGCCCTGCCACGCTTAGCCCGTGAAAATGGCGGCTTGCTCGAGGATCTGCCCGCAAAATCGCCCAGCTGCCTCCTTGAGTTTAGTTAAACCCCTGACTAAGTTGTGTAATCTAAATTGACATTTGAGTGGTGAAAGGTCAGTGCTGCCCAGGCTTGATTAGGACAAGTGTTTTTTTTTCCCCCTTTGTACAAGCATATACAGGTTTCCTTACTGCTTCTCTGACTGTAACTTTTAGGCATCTACAGACTGAAAATCATGATGTGCAACGTCCAGAAACATTTTCTGCCAAAAGTTTAATGGATATAGGAACTCGGAGGATCTTCACTTCAGATCATGATATCTTCAGGGAAAGCGTGAGGAAATTTTTCAGGGAAGAAGTGGTTCCTAATCATGCAGAGTAAGAAATTGCTTAAATATTTTGTGTTGACAGTTAATTCAGGGTTGTTTCTTAGAATTCTTTGGTAATGATGTTCTGTATATAACTAGTAATTTGTTTCTAAGCATTCTTTTTGACTTGTAAAAAAAAAAAAAAAAAAGGG